TTGTATTATTCTGATTATCTTACAACCTGTTAAGAATTTTAATTATAACTTATTCAACAACCATAGATTAGCACCATATCTTATTGATCCCCTTCCCTTGATTAATGAGATAATTAGTGTGACACCAACGTGACCATTATGGGATATCTATGAGTATGACACGATCGAATGTCACCAAATCCATTAATTTAAAGATACTTAATATATATAATTATGTAATCACATTTTCTGTGTATTTCTTTGTTCTTTTTGGTATTTGTTTTAGGAAAGCAACTAGGTTAACTGGTTAAGTACTTGTGTTGCTAAAAGATTTAGGAGGTGTGTGGTATAGATTAATTGAATTTCTTTTAGTAGATAGATTTCAGTTTTCCTGTATATAGTTGGTTAAATTTTTTGAAAAATATTTTTTTATTGAAAAGCAACAGATTTCTTAATAATTAGGAAAATGACTTTCTCATTAAAACATAAAGCAGGTGTCGTAATATTTCACTCTTCTCATCCCCCACTTGCATAGCCTCCATGTCCACACATCCATCTCCAAACATACATGTTAATTGAATATATTATTTTCGAGTTGTCTTTGCATATATATATATAACTCATATTACTCATATAAGACCCTAAAGGTGGCTTTAAGGCTTAAGCATATTCCAACAACGAGGGGGATGTACATGTAGCCCTATCAAATTAATCTGAATTCAATACCTTTACTGTTATACATAAATTTATATATGAATAATAACAAAAGATTCTAACAAATAGTAAATACAAACGGTCTATTTTTTAGAGAAGACATTTTCATGAAAACATTTCCTTTTGTACGAAACATTAATCTAGTGTTAATTTTATCTTTTACCATTTAAATTTAGCGTTAAACCTATGTACGAATTATATAGTTTGACTCATGGCTGCCACCAAGACCCATATTTTATTTAAACAAAAATCAAACAATATTAGTAATCCTACTTTCACTTTTACTTGTATATTCACTAAAAAATAAAGTCCATTTTTATTTGTTCAGTTTGAAAAATCAAGAGACAGTTCATCGCTTAGTTTCTAAGTTACCCTTATTATCAACTATAATCTTTTCCAAATACATTTCCTAAGCCGTTGAATCAATTATATTCAAAAGGATAATATAGTAAAACTGTCATTTTATATATTACTCCTGATCAAGAGATGTATCAAGTCAATACTAGACAAACAAAAAATAGTCGGAGGGGGTATATAAGCTATGGATCTTTTATAGGTAAGTGCTCATTCATTTCAATTTTGGTAATCAGTGATCGCCCAATATTCATATCATATGATTAGGACAACCACATTTACAGCCTGGCCTATATCACCAACTCTCCCACTATATTTTGGCTTAACATAGTAGTAATTAAGTTTGTCTAGTCTAATAGTTATGAATTATGATTAAGACCTTGAATTTTATTATTATTTTCCTCATTTTGTTTAATTTGTGGAGAATTTTGTATTCAAGAATTGTTTTAAACACAATTAACTCAAAATGCTTAGACGTAATTTATTTATTCTTCCTATAAAATGTAAAAAGTGTCTATTTTGTCACTACATGAACGTCCATAAGCCATGAGACAGTAAAAGTGGTTGAACATAAGTCTTTCTAGTTAAGTTAGATTTTAAATTTACCTAAACAGAGTCCAAGTGACAATGTCATATTTGTACCGAAGAAACATATCCATCGCAATTTTAAATTCGTTACCCTCCACTGGGTTGACCAAAAATATATCGTATCGATATTATTATAGAAAGTTAATAGCTAGTTGAGTGTTATTTTATTTTATTTTCTTTTATTTCAGTTATTTATTAGAATTTGTTGTTATTTTTGCTTCTCTTTCTAATTGTTTTCAACATGATTTTCACGCTATTATATTAATACATACTTGATTTTTTTTCTATCCTTACCATACATATTTGCATACTGAAGACAAATAAGGAATATTCAAATGTTGGCTTAAATTTAGACGACAAAAGTGTTGAGAGAATAATTAAATAATAAAAATGTGCTCTCTCTAACCGCTTAGGCTTTCAGATAAGATGATCACATACTTCAACATGGTATCAGAGCAAACTAAGATCCTGAAAATCGAATCTCACCGTCACCCAAATTAAAAGATCGAATCTCAGCCACCCGAATTAAACATTTACTCTTGTTTCCTTCTTCTACTGTTTTCCCCATTTTGGACTATTGGCAAAGAAAATCGTTATGAACTATTTTTGTCAAATTTAACATAACAAGTTGTATTACGCATGCATCAAGCCTGTCACAATAATTTGGCTCGCAAAGGTATTTTAGTACGTAATTTTCTAGAGTAACTATATTCACCTTAATCGGTATTACACCATTTTTGAAAAGTTGATTTATATCGTGGACAATAAAATTAGAGTTAAGAAAATAATAATTAATCAAGACAAGGAAATAATATAACAATCGTATTTATTGATTTTAAAATATGAGTGTTACAATCTCTATTATTTCTCTAATCGTCTTTTCAGGTATAAAATCAAGAGACTCTTGAGTTTAATCTTGAATTTGTTCTTGGACTTGATCTTGCATTCAAGGGTTTTAATTTGGATCTTGTTTTTGAATTCGATGATTTTGATCTTGATCGTTTTTTAACTTAAATGCTTGATTTCTTGAATTCTTGAAATTGTAGCTCGTAGAGAAATCAACGACTTTTGATCCACGAGTTTTCTCTGAGAACAAGTTTCCCTTTGACCAATCAGATTTAAGTGACATAGCATATTGGGCTTTACGAAGTGGCTATTATTTTGACACACTACATGAACTTATTAGCTTCTTTGTTTGACTTGGCATGCCACATCTTTTGACACGTGACACCAAACTGGACCTCTAGGATGAAATGACATTGGGCTTAGAAGATTGGGCATAGACCAAATCAATTGATTTCTCTAATCAAGGTAAAAATCCCTAAAAATGTGTAAGAGATAATCATGATTGATTCTTTATTTATATCACTTAATAAGAAAAATATAATTATAGAAGACAGTAAAAAGAAGAAGTTAAAAAAAATAAGAATCAAGGTAAAATCCCTAAAAATGTGTAAGAGATATTTATGATTGATTCTTTATTTATATCACTTAATAATAAAAATATAATTATAGAAGACTAATTATTTAATAAAGTGAAATTAAATTGATTTATAAATAAAAAGTGATTTATTATAACCCACAATTAAAATGTTATAAGCAATAATATTTTAGAAGTAGATTTAAAACCCATAATATTGTCCCTTAAATATATATGGGGGGTGAATTTTCCGTAATTAAATTCATGTTTATTATACTTGAATAATTAACCCAATTATATTAATCTATAATATTTATTTAAACTAATATATAGTGTAATATATTCTCAACCCTTTTATAATTTTATATTTAATAAATTATAGGTGATTATATCGATATTTCAGGGTATTGCATTTACAAGGAAAGAATATGCTAGATATATACCAGATGATACTATTTTGAAATTCATATCCATAATTAATACTTTTTCTGTTGCGATTCAAGTGTTTGATTTTTTATTTTTTTTAAGATTAGTTTTAAAAAGATTATTTCTTTTTTATATGTAGTAAGTTTTTCAATTCAAACTTATATATGACAAGTTGACAGACACAAAATTTTAAAGATTACAAAATATTTTTTAATTTAATATTATAAGATTTGATTTGATTTTTTCTATTTTTAAAATTTTAACAAAAAATTTAAAAGATTACAAATATTTTTTAATTTAATATTATAAGATTTCATTTGATTTTTTTTATTTTTAAAATTTTGTGGCAAGACACTTAAATTGAGATGAAGAGAAATAGTGTTGAGAACTATCTAATAGTCACCTTACAATTAACTACTTTCCTTTGACCGATTTGATAGATGTAAAACGTGCAACGATTTGATGTAAAACTTATTCGCATCGAGTGTATATATCAAGCCAATAAATGTATGTCATGTGTTTAAATTTATAGTTCATTTTACTTAATCATAATTAATTAACATGTGTTTTACTTTATTAAATCACGTAATAATGAAAATTGCATTAGTTTGGTATATACACTCGGTGCGGATAAATTTTATTTCATATTACATTATTGTTGTTACTATTTTTTTGGTTTCTATTTATATTTCGTCTTTATTAAAAATATATATATTTTTAATACTTATTATTTTATGAAAATAATACATAAATAACATTACTCTTCGACCTAAAAGGCGAAAGAAACCCTTCGATCAAATGAATGTCTCCAGCCCCAGTTTAGATATTCTATTCATCAATGGGGTCATGCCTTAGAGTGAGATATCGGTGATCGTAAATCCCCTGAATTCAAAGAGGTCTACGAACCATGCTTTGGTTTTCGCTTAAGGGTTTTCATAGATGTATCATCAATATCATCTGTCGATCAATTTAATTAAGCAAAGTAAATTATTTTATTTTTATTTATTGAAAATTTAACTTCAAGACAAAATTGAATAAAGATACAATAGTAAATTTATCTAACTTCTAAAAAGACATAAAATCTAAAATAATGACATATAAGACGGACGTGAGTAGAAGCTGACGAATATAAATTTGGAATTCGAAAATATTGAGATTGATTAATATTGCAATTGATATACTCCTTTGTTCCTATTTATATATCGTCCTCATATTAAAAATAGATAATTCTTAATATTTGTCCTTTTACTAAATCAATTCATAAATAACACTATTATTCCTACTTTATCCTTGAGAGTTATTAACCTTGAAAGTACGAGTTTAACCAACACAGAAAGAAAAACTAAATGATTGATTTCATGTTCATTGATAAATTATATGATAAATGAGGATGAATGTGATCTTAATGCATACAATAAGCTCCAAATATAAATAGTGATAGACAAAAATCTCTAATTTGAATAATTTTAACTAGACATAAAATATATTAATAATTTATACTATTTAACAAGTAAAGCATTTAATGGCCCAGTTTGGGAAAGATGAGAGTTTCCGTATAAACATCACCTTCTTCATCCACAACATCACCCTTATCATAATCCTGTTGAGGAAACATTGGATCACTTGATATTACCCTGTATATATATTCTGTTCTCGTACTATTTGGTGTCGACCAAATCATTTTATCAAAGCAGAGTAGCACTCGATCGTCTGAAAACGTATATTTAGGTTTGATATTATAATAACTGCCACCTGCAATGACTATGGTGAACAATTTCATCCAAGAATCTTTAATACCATACTTTTTCATCGCCCATAAATTATAATTATTGTCATCCTTATAATAAACCCCCAACATTCCTCTCAATTCTGATACGCCCACATGAATATCAACTTCAAGTTCAGCTTTTTTGAATTGGGAGAGAGTGAGTTGGGAGCTTATTATCTCAGGCAATGATATCTCTCCGTACATCTCATCTGAAATATTAAATGAAATCACGCACACTTTTGATAAGAAACCAATCCAATGAAATGCTCCATCTACAAATGCCAAAAATTCTCTACCCCTCAACAGACGGCTATCTGTCCTGCCTCCTGAGGTTTTACCATCAATTATCCTCCACGAACCATTTTTCAGTGCGAGAATTTCATTGTCATTCTCACCAGATATGTCAATCCTGAAGATTTTATAGTCATCACTGGTGGAGTCATAAGCCATTCCGTAAGTAGATCCCCTATCTACATCGTCATCATTATCATATCCGATCTGTAATGAAAATTTAGAATGGGGAAGTCGTATTGATTGGCGCGTGGAAGGATTCCATATGACTAATCCGGCAGGTTGTTCAATACCACGGTCAGTCCAAATTCCGATGAGAAACAATCCATCACAACTAGAAAAAACTTTTACACCATCAATTGGCTTAGAATTTGAATTGCAATAATCAAATATGGGAATATCTTCCGAGAGTACACACCATAATTGACTTTTATGGTCCCAATGGACAAAAATCATGTTTTGGGAACTGAGTTGATTTTGGCATGATTGAGATGCTTCTTCTTAAAATAAGGTTGAAAGATTAATGTATTCCAAAATTTTGAGACGCAATTGAAACGAATAACTGATTTCACAGGTAACCTGCTCAGAATATCCATAAGTATTTCCTCCATCACAACACAAAAACTGTATTTCAAACTAACAAACAAACTCACTTTAATTTGGTTGGCTGCGTGATCTACAGAAAAAATATAATCACAACTTGTTCCAGGAAAAGAACTAGTTATTCTGTGGTTGAAGAAATAGAATTTGATTCCTAATAGCAGGGGCGGATCTATAGTGTGTCCAGGGGGTCATCCGACCCCCTACGGAAAAAAAATTACACTATATATATAAGATCAATTTTTTTTGTGTACGTGTATATATTTAAAAATTGAACCCCCTGAGCATATGTCAAAGGAGTAGCTCAGTGGTTTATGGGGGTCAGGATTCAGCCTATGTGAGCTTTGGGTCACGGGTTCGATTCCAGGCAACAACTATTTTTTTATTTGAACCCCCTTGATAGAATTCCTGCCTCCGCCACTGCCTAATAGGATTAAACTACATTTTTTGTTGGTTTTGTCATATTATAAAAGAATTCCTTTCCACGTTTAACCTCAAAAACTTCTTACAAAAAAGAATCCTACTTTCTTTTTTAATTTTTAAAAAAGTAGTAACTTTTTTTCCTTTTTTTTGGGCAAAATTTTCCTTTCAAGAGGCATGTTATAGACCACAAAATTAAATAACATTTTGATATATTTGACATAATTTTAATTTATAACTACAAAATTGAAAAGTCCCTTCTTCTTTTTTTTGTCAATTTAGTGTCTTAAATTTTGTCCCTTTCAACGTGTTTATCAATTGATGACCCAAAATTAAATCAACTCTACTAATTAGATGACTCTCCTTAGAAAATCGCCAAGCGTCGAATACCCCCACAAAGTTTACCAAAAATAAACTATGGTTGACTAAACGAAAAAATGCTTAAAATGTCTTTAAAATATGTGAAATTGAATAAAAATATAATTTGTTAATAATTTAGTTAAAAAATATCTATGCCGTCAAAAAATGCCCTATGATTAGTTTTGGATAGAAAATGTCCTTTTCTAATAAACATATGGTTTCTTTTCTTTTTAAAAATACTTTTTTTTTTTTTTAATTTTGCATAGATTAAGGGTATTTTAATTTAATTTCTAGATTAGCGGAGTAAAATCTATCATCCCTCGAGTAAAATAGTGATTGATTACAGTTGAAAATCAAATAAACGACTAATTAATTACATGTACGCTTAATTTGCCTCCAATCGGAATGGGTCATTTTCAATTCATGCCTAAAAAAGAGTGGATCATTTTCTCTCTAAACTACTCTCTCTCCTTAATTACTTGTCCACTTTTGAAATTGACACACCTATTAAGAAAAAACAATGATTGATATAACGAGTTTACCATTTTACCTCTATTAATGATGAAGTAAATGAATTAAAAACTTAAGAGTTTCAAGACGTTCTACATTTTTCAAAGTAATTAATTGAGGGTATAATAGGTTAAAAAAAATTGTTATTTCTTGATTTGTCAAATTGGACAAGTAATTAGGGACAAGTAAGGAAAAGTGAATAAGTAATTAAGAAGAGAGAGAGTATTAATTATTTATTTCGTCTTTTGCATTTGTTTCTTTAGATTTAGGTTAATAGGACTTTTGGTCTCTCCATTATTTATAAACTAGTGAACATTTCCGCACTTCGCTCGTTCATAAAAACTATTTAGAAATTTAGAAATAAACTTATTAAAATTTAATTGAAATAATAACGTACTTTCGTACATATCTTTACAAAATCAATAATATACATTAAAAAATTTCTTCTAATAAAATAAAGTAAAGCATGAAATGAAAAGTTAAGGTAAATATAAGTAGAAATTAGTTGTATTTTAATATCGTTTTAATTATTATTATTTTCAAAAAAAAAAATCTATTCCCGTATCTAATTTCCCCCTCATTTGTTCATACCCTAAATAATAAGCTCTAGTTTAGAAAATAAGATACTTTCTCTCGATTTTTCATTATTTTCTTCTTGATTATCTCCGTTTTCTCACTCTCTCTTATCCTACTTCCTCTTTTTATTTTTCTGGATTGTTACTTCCTTCAATCCTTCCTATATTTATTTGTTTATTTAATTTCATTATTTTCTTGTTTCCCTTATTTTTGTTGTTAGTCCAAGATTGCGCTTTATTTTGAATAATCAATTTTTTAATACTTTTTTCTACTTTATATTCTCATCACCTATGTGAAATCTAATGTCTTTCATCTTTCCTCATCTTTTATAGTAATTATCTTGCCCTAATTAATTGAGTAATTATTTAATCAAAGTTTGATTTTTAAATTAAAATGATAGGTACTAACACATTAAAGAGACTTGAATATAATAAGTGGTAGTAGTTAATAGTGAGTAATTAGAAAAAATGAGTAACATATATTCGGGAGAAATATTTGAAGTAGTGATTTTTTATTATTATTTTTTTGTTTTAATAACAAAAATAGATTTAAAAAAATAGGAGAATGGTAAAAATTGAGAAAATTATATATATTAATTTTAAATTTCAAGCTACCATATATTTGAATAAATTAAAAAATTGTGGTGCTAATTCAATTCATTTTTTTTATTTGTTAAACTATTGCTAATAACTTATATTCAGATTACTCATGTAAAATACAAATACAAATACAAATTCAACTCATATTAAAATTAGATTATTCGAATTTAAAAATAGCTAGTTCAACGTAATTCACTCTTTTTAATTGGAACTAAATATGAAACTCTAAATATGTCAAAATTAAGTTTGATTTCATTTCTCAGCCAATCAATTTTGTTCAGAAGAAAATACAATTTTATTGGCATTGTTTTTTTAAAACTAATTAAGATCAAGCCTTCGGATATCTAAGTGTTTTGAGAAATAATATCAATGAAATCAATAATAAACTAAAGTATATACGGTGATGAGAGATCATTTTCCTTTCGATGTTCTTATTCATGAACAATTATTTTCATAACCACCTATGAAAACACACAAATAAAAAAGCTCACATAAAATAATGAACAAAAAAGAAAATTATATCAACAAATTAAAAGAAACAAAACACATACGATGTGTATTAAGTAAAATAGAATCTTATAAATATTTAAATAATAATATCTACAAGCGTAATCAAAAAGATTTATTTGAGATACTCATAATAAGTAGTTTGATAAGTATTTCATTTGAATAGTTGTTTAGCATGTTGATACATATTTCTTTTCACTTCCGCAAATAATGACAAATTCAGCAAAAATTATTTAACAATAAACATCCATGCATAAGAAAATTTTAAGAAGAGATCATAGTATCACCTAGAACCATGTATAACCACTAATAAGTAAGTCACATCACTTTGATTTCATATAAGAGGATTTGTTAATACAATTATCCAATAAAAATAACGAAAAGGGGCCTAAAATACCTTCGAAGTATAGGAAATGGTACGGAGTACAAAACTACCCTTCATCCATCTATTGGCTCCAAAATACCCTTGTGATCCATCTTTGGGTTCAAAATTGACCACTTATTTCATGATTTTAAATTTAAACTACTTAAATAGTTTTTAAAATATATGGCACTCAACTATTGGTTAAAATTTAATTTATTGATATAATTTATAAACCCACCCATTAATAATTAAACCCGACCCAATTAATAAATCCGCCCAAATCCACCTATTAAACTAAAGATGAACCCTTCCTTTCTAACGTTGTCTTCCTCTCAGTCAATTTCTCGTACGTTTAACAAAAACCCTCCATTGATTTTCAAGATTCAGACAGATTGCGAAATTGCCTTGTCAATTTTCTATTTTTTTGTTTGTTGGATTTTAATGGAATTGAAAATCCCAAGAACCAATCTTGAGTTTTTGAAAAATTGATTCATGATGAAAGAGTGATAGAAAAAATTTATTAGAATTATAAGATTTACTTTATAAGTCCCTACATAATTACACTTTAGTTCACATTCTAGAATTCTCTTTAACTATAGAGAATTTTAAAGCCTTCCTGAAAAATATCTAGTCCCTCTTCTAAGGCTATCTAAGATGTTTTTTAAGAATTCTCTACTAGTCTAGAGAATTCTAAGGCTTTCTAATATGTTTTTTAAGAAAAGATCTAGGGAATTTTAGAGTCTTCCACTAACCTCTCCCTACTCTAGATTCTTCTCCCTTATTTTTATGCCAAATAAATGTAATTTTTATTTACACCTTAGCCCCCTACGAAGTAGTATAAATAGAGGAGCTCTCATTTATAAATCAGTCAATGAAGTGTAAATCAATCTTCCACAAAGCAATGCAAAGCCACTATAACCCTATGTTCCCAAATCTATTACCAACCCCCATTTCTAATCTAGTAACGACATAAATCCAAATTTATTATCAATCTTCAAATCTATTCTGTAACAACACTAAACAAAATCAATAGGATTCATCACCTAATGAAATCCAATCAGAAAACAAAACGGAATCAAGAAATGTACTAACCTCATGAATTTTGGTGTTTCAAGAATGTATGCTCTACCATCTTCAACTTTCTTTCTGAGTGTTTTATTCTCTGTAAGGCTGTCTAACTCTTCTTTCAGATTCAAGATAGCAATATTTTTTATTTCTTCTTTCCAGACCGCTTCCTCCATCTTCTGATACAGTTACTTGGCATTTTTGCAACGAAAAACTACTTTTTTTCATATCTGCAACTGTCAATCTCTTCCTAATGCGTTTAAATTCATCCATACGAGTGCATGGATAGTATTTTGCCAAAGTGCATCCCGCACCACTGTAGGTGGGATTGAAGTTGATTTGCGAGAAAAGAAGCTACGATGAAATGTTAGAAGTGTCATTCTGTTTTCACAAATTGAGTCAATTTTTTTTAAATGGTCCACTCGGCCTTGTTATATATATATATATATATATAT